TAGGAAATAAAGAAACGCTTCTAAAGCAGATATATCCTACTGTGTAGCTACTGCTGAAATAACAGAGTATCACTTTATTCTTTTTCTTCAGGGTTGTTCTGTATCTTTTATTTTGGCACTCTTTTCTGAGAAGTTCAGCAATTTCAACTGTTGACTTTTAAATGCACTTCCTGAATTCAAAAGCTTACTTTTGAACAAGGATATATATATATATTTTTCTGCACAGCAGCAATTGAATTTTTCCTCCTGAATCTTACCTGCCTCACAACGGCCTTTCATGCTGTTTTGATTTTTATGTCTGAATCTGCTACATGATGAGACAGGATTGGCTGTCAATATTTCTGAATCTTTGTAATCATCAGGAACAATATACGTGATGGGTAAGTATGTGTATGTTTGCAATTTCCAAACAGATTATAAAGTTACAATAGAATACAAGTGTGAAATAGTAAGGTTGAAGTGAGTTAAAGATGCTGATATCCAGTTAGATCTGGCATCTCTTCCCAAAAATATATACTCCTAATTGGTTCCTTCAACCTCTTTAGATCTGCTAGATACCTAAATAAAATGATAATCCCTAAATAAAGGACATTTTTTTGGTTGACTTTGACCTTTCTACTACAAACAGGAGGAAGTTACCAAAGTATCCTATAAGGACTAAGGTTTTGCACATGTAGAAAGTTGTTTTCAAAACAGTTAAACGTATTTTGTTATATTGCTTGTTTATACCGGCAAACAGTCAAGAGTTGAGAATCCCACATTGAAACACATTTCCAAGCAATTTTACTTACTAATTTCACTTTCCATTGATCCATGACTCTTACCCAAAATGTAGCTAAAATGTGTATGTCGTATGCCAAAAAAAAATAATAATGCACAGCCATCCAGTTGCTAAGCCCAGTTAATTTTACATTTTATTCTTTTCTTTTTATATATGACCTGTTTTGTATTATTGAGGCAGATTGCTAAATAAAACTCAAGTTTTTATAGCACTTGGTAACTTACTACTTATCGTTCATATTTGATGCATTGGATGAAATCAAAGCCTGCATGGGATGACCAACTGGAGAAAGAAATCATCATAGGTATGTGGTATCTATGTGCAATTTCTCTCTAAATCTGCCGCAGATATTTGCAACAGTTAACTCTCAGATGGCCGCCAGATGGCACTTTAGTATTTTACTTAGCAATTTCCTTTTTAAAAATGGTTTTTAAATATCAACCATTTTCTAGTTTGTTTCTTACTCTACAGGGATAGATTCCAGCACTGACCAGATGTACCTAGAAATCATGCAGATTAATACTACCAAACTCAGATCTATTTAGTAAACAGATTAAGGAACTGTGAAGCAGAAAATCCAGTAATACTATGATTTTGTAAAAGTACACAATATAATGTTAAAAGTACCGTAACACATTTCAATTCAGCAATTCCTAAGTGAACAATCCTGAAGCAACACAATCATTGTGTATCTTCCAAATATATATAATACAGTATTATCTTTGACTTCTAAATATTGATATATGTGATGTGATACAGATATATAATATGATATATATGATATGACATGATACATACCGTGTTTCCCCTAAAATAAGACCCTGACATATTTTTTTGAACCCTGAAATAAGCGCTTGGCCTTATTGCCATGTGCTCAAAAGCCCGATTGGGTTTATTATCAGAGGATGTCTTATTTTGGGAGTAACTGTATATTTTAGATAGATAGATGATAGATAGATAGATAGATAGATAGATAGATAGATAGATAGATAGATTTATAGAGAGAGGGGGGGTCATATACGTAATAATATACCTTATTATACAAGCTAGGTCTGTCGGTCTGTCTTGATTTTAGGGTTAGTTTTAAAATTTTAATATTGATTTTAAATTGACAAGTTTTAAATTATGGGCCAAATTTATAAATTATTTTAACTTTATTTTTTAACTGTGATGTTTTGAATAGATGTTTTTATCTTGGCTGTTCACCGCCCTGAGTCCGAAAGGAGAAGGGCGGTATAGAAATTTGAATAAAGTAAAGTAAAGTAAAGCAGTCCTTGACTTATGAATGCACTTGAGCCATCAGCCTTAATCAACTGATAGAGGGATTCCCAATGCCTCCCTATTGTATAGTTGGGATTGGAGGCTGCAAGATTGATGATAGAGATTGGTAGGGAAATGCTAAGTGATTGTATGAGCATTGATTGTGCCAATTTCCAACCTGCCCACAGGCTTGAGTTAATTGTGTATCCCCTTTGCATGCATCGATAGCAGGGGAGTTTTGTCCTGTGGTGATAAGGATTACTAAAAGTTGAGGAACTTCTTCCTGGGAAAGTTTTACGGACATTAGCCTTTCCTTCTGTTTGTGTTGCATTTCTAGCTTTTGGTGGGCACAGTGAATTGCCACCGTTTTTACTTGCTGCTTCCCAAGCCGCCTTTATGGATACATCAAAACATGGTTAAAGAAAATAGGTCAAGACAAATAGATTGGGGATTAGTAGTATGGTACTATCTAAACCACCCCTGCCAGCATAGCCATTACTAAGAATTTAGGAAATTGAAGACCCCATATTTGAAATTGGCATAGTTGGGAAGTCTACAGATTATAAAACATGGATAATTGCTGTATTAAGAGTGACAAATGTATTAACTCCTTGAAGACACCCCTTTCAACCTTTTGGCTTGCCTGGGCCGCATTGAGTAAAATAAGCTTTATATATTTATTTATATATACATATAAATAAAGCTTGTTAGTTCACTCAATGTGGCCCAGGCAAGCCAAAAGATTGAAACAACCATGCTCTATATCGACTCATAGCAGTCTACATTAATAATGACCAAAATTGGGTAGGACAAATAAATATCAATAATAATAACAATAGGTTTGCAATGGCACCTAGTGGTATGTTTGGTACCATAGCAAAATATTTGGAAAGCGCTTGGATACAATTCAATCCAGCAATTCCTATGTGAACAATCCTGAAGCAATGCAATCAGCGTGTATCTTCCAAAGATATATAATAGAGTATTATCTTTGACTTCTAAATATTGATATGTGATGTTAGATATATATGATGATACATATATTTTAGATAGATAGTTAGTTAGTTAGATAGATAGATAGATAGATAGATAGATAGATAGATATAATTAGTAGTAGTAGTAGTAGTAGTAGTAGTAGTAGTAGTAGTATATTGTGGGGCCACATTACTAGCTGTCCAGGGCTGCATGTGACCTGCAGGTTGGGCACGCCTGATACTGTGAGTATACACACTGCAGTAGGTATACCTAGATGGGCAAAGGCTCAATAGGAGCAGAGAAAACTTTGTATAATACTGTTTTATGGATTTCCTATAGAAAGCAGACACTTCCCAAGAAAGTTTTGAATTCGAAACAGTGCTGGCAGCAAATGAAAGTTAAGCCTCTTTCAGATTCTCCTCTTTACATTGTATAAGCAGATTCACCTGCTGCATTAAATAGTAATGCGTTTTGTTGGTATTCAGTGTGGTACATCATTGTCTGAAAGCTCATTTGCACCAGTGATACCAACGAACACGAGCCTAATTACGAACTTGTAATTAAAAGGACATGAAGTGTGCAAACCACAACTGTGATAGTTCTATTTGATTCTTTTTCATCTTAAATTCAAGAAAATGCTAGGGAAGTATTGTACTAATTAGAACTAGAAAGAAGAAGAATAGGCTGGATAGTTTTAACAAATATGCTTGCTGCTTTTGAAAATTATAAAATCATCCACTCAAGTAAATTTCTTCATCATCGTACCCACTGCTTCTGAAATCTCCATGAACCAATAGAGGAATTGTAAACAAAAATTTGCAATACAAATGCATTTTGCATTCTATCATGTGTTATTTTTTCTGAAAAAGTAATACTTCGTTTACCAAGACCAAGACCTTAGTTTGGATAAGATAAACTTGCTTTTAAGAAGAGACTGGACAGTCCCTTGTCTGAGATGGTATAGGACAGGGGTGAAAGCCAGCAGGTTCTGACAGGTTCTGGAGAACCAGTAGTGGAAATTTTGAGCAGTTTGGAGAACCGGCAAATACCACCTCTGGCTGGCCCCAGAGTGGGGTGGGAATGGAGATTTTGCAATATCCTTCCCCCAGGAGTGGGGAGTGGGGATTTTGCAGTATCCTTCCCCTGGAGTGGGGTAGAATGGTTATTTTGCAGTATCCTACCCCTGCCACGCCCACAGAACCGGTAGTAAAAAATTTGGATTTCACCACTGGTATAGGATCTCCTGCTTGAGGAGGGGGTTGGACTAGAAGACCTTCAAGGTCCCTTCCAGCTGATTCTGCTGCTATTCTACGGTCTATTTTTCTCCACAGAAACTTTCCATCCAGATTGCGACGAATTACTAGTGCTGGGGAAATAATTTGCGTTAAATTTTCAGCCTGCAAAATGGAGGCATGAGAGAGACGGGGATACTTTTGGGGGATACCCACAAGCTCATCATCTTTATGAAATAAAACAAAAACACGGACCAACCCCAGGCATGTAATGAATTTCCGGATTAATTAAGGGGAAGGGAAGAGAATCGAGTTTTTTTATATATAAAAAAAAAATTCTGCGGGCTTCTTTGCCCGTCAGACTTCATGGATCTCGGAAACCGCGCTTGAGGGTCTCTAAATACAAGGCATCTTCTTAGGTGCCGGAGCTATCAATAACTCTCCGCGTAGTATCTCTCCGCTCTCCTTCCGCGCAGCGCGATTGCCAAGGAGACCGGGCAGGCGCTGCTACTATGCAGACTGCCTCACGCTGGAAGTCAACCGCGCGTCCCATGGTGCGCGCCCTTTTTCAAAGAGGAAGTCAAGTGTGGCGAATGAGACACAGACTACCATTGTCCGCGCGACATTTTAATAACCTGCACCTACAATATTCAACCTGTTGTTTGCACAGGGGACAACCCCGCGACACAAAAAGCCACCCGAGGGGGCGGCAGGCGAAGAGCTCGGGCAGAGACTTGGCGCTCCCCGGCGCCATGGCTCCGGCGCTTGGGCTCCCGCGCGGCGTGGGCACGGAGCAGGCGGAGGGAAGGGCCGAGGTTACCCTCAACAACCAGCCGGGCTTTTTGCCCAGGAACGACGCCGAGGGCGCCCCCTGCCTCCGCCTGGGAAGGGCTTCGCAAGGCTTCGTGGAAAAGCAGCGTCCTCTCAAGAGCTTAATTGTTTTGGCTTGGAGACGTTTCCTTACCCAAACTAGGCATGATATGGGCAATACGTGATTGGGCAAAGAAACGTCTGCGTTTCTTCCACCACTGGAAGCTTTCAAGAAGAGACTGGACTAACACGTGTCACAAATGGTGTCCTGCTTGGGTGGGGGGTTGGACTACATGACCTACAAGGTCCCTTCCAACTCTGTTATTCAGTGAGCCCAGCTTAACCCAAAAAATGATTTTATCCTTTTCCAGGGGAAGAACAACAGACTCAGGTTGGTCACCTCAAAGAACCTCGAGGGACAGTACTTCAGGGATGACTATGTACTTTTCTTTCCCTGTGCCTTTTTTCTGGATTTTTTTAAAACTTGTTTAAACTACTAGAGTTTTCTGGTGATCCCCCATCCAAGGACTTTCCAGGTCAGATCTTGCCTGGTTTCAAGAAAGGTTGGGGGGATTAGTCGAAGTTATTTGTACTGGAAGGGTCTAGGTGAAGAATCTTTGTGGAAGAAAAAAATCCACCCCTTGATCTAAAGACAACTACAAGTACTCCTTGACTTACGACCACAATTGAGCCCCAAATTTATGTAAAGTGAGAATTTGTTAAATGAGTTTTGCCTCATTTTAAGACATTTCTTGCCACAGTCGTTAAGTGAATCCCTGCAGTTAATAAATTAGTAACCTGGTTGTTAAGTGAATCTGGCTTCCCAATTGACTTTGTTTGTCAGAAGGTTGCAAATCATGTGACCCTGGGATGTTGCAACGGTCATAAGTGTGAACCAGTTGTTAAACATCTGAATTTTGATCACATGATCATAGGGATGCTGCAAAGGTCATAACTGAAAAATCGACATGTCACTTTTTTCAGTATCATAACTTTGAACGGTCACTAAATGAACTGTTGTAAGTTGAGGACTACCTGTATTACTGGAACTATCAAGACCACTCCCATCAATATTGACAAGGCAAGCTGCTAGAATATACAATGAGAGTAAAACTCCACTCCCTACTAACATTGATGAAACTAGTTTAGTAATGAAACATCTGCAAGAAAATAACCAAGTTCAGAGAACACCAAGGACTCCATAACTAATACTGCTTTTCAATATCCCTTCCCCACCCGTCCCCTCCAACCTATAACTCCCATTATTCTGTCTATCCTAATTTATGCTGGTCAGTGAAGGACACATGAATTGCAGAAAGCTGCTTCCAGAAAAAGTGGTAGAAAAATATACCAGAAGACTCCCAAGCAGAAAATGACTCCAGATCTTTAGAGTTTCTTTTTCTCCATTCCTGAAGCATAACTGTGCCTCTGTTGTTTTTTTTTAAGTGCATTGTTTTTTCAGATACAATTGAATTGCATTGAGTGGCATAGCCCTGTTTGAGAAGCAGAGGATTCCAATCTGAACTGCAGAGGCATTTAGTGAAATTTAAACCTCAAACAAAATCATTAAGAACTAAAAACCGCTGAAAATCAAAGGCCTTTAATTCTGATATGCACAGAAATTTTGCTCAAGATTGCCTCCTGAACTAAGCAAAATGTATGGGTGTGAATTACAAATATTTAAGCATTATAATGTGTCAAGGTGTTTTTTAAAAAAACCCACTGGAAGAGGGGGTTTTTTTGGAAATGGAACCACTGCATTTTTGCTTTTATTGAGACATTAGTAAATAAAACCGTTTCCCACAAAATGCATCAGAATCATGTGATTTAATGCCACTAATACACTCCAGTTTACAGGTGAGCCATTTTAATCAATATAGTACCACCAGAGGGCAGAACTGAAACAAAAGAAATAGCAGGAAAGTCCATTTTTTCTAACCATTAGAATAGAACCTTTTAGTAATGAAATATCTTGAGAGCTGGTTAAAATATGTTCCTGCAGTGAGAAATATTTAAATCAAGTTAGCCAATCCTGTCCTAGAGATGTTGTATTTTATTACTTTATCTTTTTAGTTGTTAAATTTATTTGCTGCCTATCTCACTATGGGATTACTCTAGGTGGGTTACAATAATAAAAAGGAAGAAAATGAAAAGAACATAGAAAGAATCCTTGTACTTCCACATACTTACAATTGTTGCAGCATCTGCACAATCACATGATCACTATCTGTGACCTTCTCAATAGCTTCTGACAAGCGAAGTCCATGGGGAAAGCTGGATTTGCTTAACGGCCACATGATTCACTTAACAACAGAAGTGATTTACTTAACAACCGTGGCGAAAAGATCATAAAATTGGGCACAACTCACTTAACAGTCACTTTGCTTAGCAAGAAATTATGGTTCCAATTGTAGCCGCATGGCCCAATATATATATTGTATTCATATCTGGATGGCAAATAGATGGGGAAGAAATGGAGGTAGTGACAGATTTTATTTTCCTGGGCTCCAAGATCACCGCAGATGGGGACTGCAGCCAAGAAATTAAAAGATGCTTGCTCCTGGGGAGGAAGCTATGGCAAATCTAGATAGCTTACTAAAAAGCAAAGACATCACCCTGCCAACAAAAGTGCGTATAGTCAAGGCTATGGTTTTCCCAGTTGCAATGTATGGCTGTGAAAGTTGGACCATAAGAAAGGCTGAGTGCCAAAGAATTGAGGCCTTTGAACTATGGTGCTGGAGAAGATTCCTGCGATCAAACTGGTCAGTCCTAGAAGAGATCAACCCTGACTGCTCTTTAGAAGGCCAGATCCTGAAGATGAAACTCAAATACTTTGGCCACCTAATGAGAAGGAAGGACTCACTGGAGAAGAGCCTAATGCTGGGAAAGATTGAGGGAGATTGAGGGCAAAAGAAGAAGAGGACGACAGAATGAGGTGGCTGGTTGGAGTTACTGAAACAGTAGGCATGAGCTTAAATGGACTCCAAAGGATGGTAGAGGACAGGAAGGCCTGGAGAAATGTCCATGGGGTTGCGATGGGTCGGACATGACTTCGCAACTAACAACAACAACAATTCATATCTGGATAGCTTAAAGGCCAGTAATGGCTGCTGTGAAAACAAAATAGAAATTGGTTTGACCTGATGATAGATTTCTGTAAGAACATGGAATCTGTGGATAAACTCTATGACAGATAATGTGGCTTCTTAGATTTATGATTTAGCAGACTAACCATAGTTTTGTTACAATTCTGGGTACCCCTTCATTTTAAATATTGGTGCCATTAGAGTTAAGACATTTGATGTTGTGGCCGTAGCTGATCTCAAAAAGTTGCTCTTCTAGAAATAACCTTATTCTTCATGATCAATTTTGTGATTGCTTTCCTTCCTATGATTAGTTTTCATATTTGCGTTCTAATCATGGTCTGGTAATGTTACATCCTTTTAGGATATTGTGTTTTGCACCTCTTGCAATTTGTCACTGAAACCTTCAATATCTTCTAACATGCATGTCAGTTATGATGTTCACTTTTATAACATTGATATTCACTGGATAGTCCATAATTCCATTAGATATACCGTGTTTCCCTGAAAATAAGACCCTGTCTTATATTTTTTTTGAACCTTGAAGTAAGTGCTTGGCCTTATTGCCATGCACTCAAAAGCCCAATTGGGCTTATTACCAGGGGATGTCTTATTTTGGGGGAAACAGGATACTATATTGATAGTACTAGCTTATAACTGAGTGTATATTTAGCAGTGTCCTCTATGGGTATTATGATGAGTCCATTATTTCATAAAGTCTCATGCACTTAATCATATATTTGTGATCATCTGATTTAAAGAGATCCATGCCAGCCTTCAAGGGTTCACATATACCTATAATATAACAGAATAATAGAGTTGGAAGTGATCTTGTAGGTCATCTAGTCCAATCCCCTGCCCAAGCAGGAGACCTTACACCATTTCTGACAGATGGCAGTCTCTTCTTGAAGGTTTCAAGTGATGAAGCTCCCACAACTTCTGAAAACAAGCTGTTCCATTGGTTGGTTGATCTCATTGTCAGAAAATTTCTCCTTATTTCTAGGTTGAATCTCTCCTTGATCAGTTTCCATCCATTATTCTTTGTCTGACCTTCAGGTGCTTTGGAAAATAAGTTGACCCCTCTTCTCTGTGACAGCCCTTCAAGTATTGGAACACTGCTATCATGTCACCCCTAGTTCTTCTCTTCATTAGACTAGACATACCTACGGTAGTTCCTGCAACCATTCATCGTATACTTTAGCCTCCAATCCCCTAATTATCTTTGTTGCTCTTCTGTGAACTCTTTCTAGATCTCGGCATCTTTTCTGTATCATGGTTACTAGAACTGGATGCAGTAGTCCAAGCGTAGTCACCCAGGTGCAGTATAAAATGGTACTAACACTTCATGTGATTTTGATACTCTCTGTTGATATGCTCCGTTGATACGCTCCGCAGCCTAGGAGCCCAGTATCAATATGAATATAATACCTCTTATGGCCATATTTTCAGCTTCACCAGCTCCAGCCCTTACACAGATATTCTATTTAGGATCTCTTATGTAGTGACCAAGAAAAGCCAGAGGTGGCTCCGTGCAAGACAAATTTCTGTGAACCTCCAAATAAAACAATATAATTTTAATTCTGAAATTATTTGGGGAAGGTATAAAGTTAGGCAACATTCATAGGCTCAGACTATCAAATCTGGCATAGCTAAACAAGTTACTTATTACTTCTTTGAATAAGATCTTGCATTTCAGCACATGTTCATCACAAATATGTTCTTTAAGTTATACATCCAAAATAAAATTGAATAATAAATCGAATAAAGTTATTGCAGTTGTTAAACTTGATTACAAAGTTATCCTACAATATATATGATTCTAACATTTGTATCAGTTGTTTGATTTGGGCTTACCAAGTCATGTGTGTTGTTCCAGCATCAACTCTCTGATTGAAACTTCTGCCTAATTCCCACTTTTATTTTTCACATATTTTAGCTTAGAAAAAAGTCCATTAAATTTCAGCAGAAGAGATTTCCAAATAGCTATATTTAGATCAAGATACATACAGTGAGAAATGGAACATTTTTATGCTTTTGACTCCCTGGATGATAGTTCGTTCACCCAGATTTTGTTTAAAAAAAAAAGTATATCTTGAGG